CCTAATCATTTTTGTTGCCCTCCGCTGGACTCTTTCCAATTTTTCCACATCCTTCTTGTAGTGTGGGGCCCAAAACTGGACACAGTACTCCAGATGAGGCCTCACCAATGTCGAATAAAGGGGAACAATCACATTCCTCGATCTGCTGGCAATGCCCCTACTTATACAGCCCAAAATGCCATTAGCCTTCTTGGCAACAAGAGCACACTGTTGACTCATATCCAGCTTCTCGTCCACTGTGACCCCTAGGTCCTTTTCTGCAGAACTGCTACCTAGCCATTCGGTCCCTAGTCTGTAGCTGTGCATGAGATTCTTCCGTCCTAAGTGCAGGACTGTGCACTTGTCCTTGTTGAACCTCATCAGGTTTTTTTTGGCCCAATCCTCTAATTTGTCTAGGTCCCTCTGTATCCGATCCCTACCCTCTAGTGTATCTACCACGCCTCCCAGTTTAGTGTCATCTGCAAACTTGCTGAGAGTGCAGTCCACACCATCCTCCAGATCATTAATAAAGACATTAAACAAAACCGGCCCCAGGACCGACCCCTGGGGCACTCTGCTCGAAACCGGCTGACAACTAGACATGGAGCCATTGATCACTACCCGTTGAGCCCGACGATCTAGCCAGCTTTCTATGCACCTTACAGTCCATTCATCCAGCCCATACTTCTTTAACTTGGCGGCAAGAATACTGTGGGAGACTGTATCAAAAGCTTTGCTAAAGTCAAGGAATAACACATCCACTGCTTTCCCCTCATCCACAGAGCCAGTTATCTCATCATAGAAGGCAATTAGGTTAGTCAGGCACAACTTCCCCTTGGTGAATCCATGCTGACTGTTCCTGATCACTTTCCTCTCCTCTAAGTGTTTCATAATTGATTCCTTGAGGCGCTGCTCCATGATTTTTCCAGGGACTGTGGTGAGGCTGAATCCCAACAGGGTGAGGGGGAGAGGCACATTCATATGAAAATATGAGAAGAGTGAAGAGGAAGGAGAAACACCACAGAGGGGAGGAGAGAGAGGATTAGAGGGTACTAAAAAAGTAACGGAGGGAGCCAGAGAAAAAGCCCAAGAAACAGAACTATAGAGGCAGGATGCAAGTGAGAAATAGACAAAATGAAGCAAAACCAGAAATGGATGGATAATGACCCAACAATAAGAGAGAGTGGGAGATCTTTGTATCCAGAGCCACTCTTAGATTCCAAACCCCCCTACAAAGCTCAGGATCCAGAGCTTTGGTTTGGGCCCATTTGAGTTGAGATTTCCTTTGCTAATAACCTACCAATGCAAATGTGGGCCATATTTACAAGCATGTCCTGCAGTTTTTAAAATGTCAGCTACCTCTAGTTGCTCTTCAGTGTTTTTCTTTAAAGCCTCTTCAAATCGCTTTGCCTTGTCCCTTAGAGAATGGCTCTGGAAGGTGAGGGTATCTACCTGGTCCTGCAATTAATGACAAATAAAAAACCTAAACCATTAAGCTCTAATGTTACTTTTATACAAATCATTTCCCACCACTGCTAAAGTACGTGAGGGCAATGAGGAGAAGGGCGTAGAAGCTACCGTGAGAGGACATTTTTACATGAAATCACTCAAACTCGCAGTGGAGATTTTGATAACTTGGTAACTAACAGAATCAGGATTTCATGTGGAGAACCTGAGATTAATCATGTGGCTAGCTTAAATTGGCCACCAACAGCAGCTTCTAAACCTGCATCAAGCTAAGACATCCCAGCCCTTTTGGCTGTGTGAGACCCAGTCTCCTTGCTTTGAAGGACAGGCATGTTTGTGTCATACTCATGAAGCAGATAACCTCTATAAGGTTACTGCTCCTCAGGGATCAGCATGGGGAGATACTCAAATGCTGCTCACAATCCCAGGCTTCAGAGCAGCTAGATATCTCTGCTAAAATGATAAGCAGTCAGAGGCGGTGCCAGTTTCTTCCCGGTGGGGAGACTGAGGTGGGCTAGGCAGAAAATAGGGAGGGCTGCGCCTGTAAGAGCTTCCTGGGCAGGGGGACCTGGCTCCAGGGCCGGCAGAGCCCTCAGAGAGCAGCAACCATGGCGGCAGGGCCCCGGAGCATGGGCTGGAGTGGGTCAGTCCAGGCTGCTGTGCGGAACCGTGGACCCTCCACCTGCCCTGAGTGGCGTGCCCCGGCGGGCGGGGACACAGGCCAGGGGTTGCTCTCAGGCCTCCTGGGCTCCTGTCTGGGCTTACATCTGCACTGCTGCTGGAGACGGCATGGCCTTCAGAGCTGGGTGGCCGGACAGTGGTGGCTGCTGGCTGGGCACCCAGCTCTGAAGGCAGCACTTCCGCCAGCAGCAGCTGAGAAGTATCTGCATAATATTTGACCTTTGCACTGGGAGGGGTGGCTATGGGAGGCTAAGGCAATTTTTGGGGTGGCTATAGCCCTTGCAAGCACCCCCCCCCACAGCGCCACCACTGGAAAGAGTTAACATTATTGACTGTGGACTATCATCATTATGTTTCAGAGTTAACACTCCACTAAGATGAAAGGGGGTGATTCACACCACTCTAAGGACCAAATGCTAAAGCCCAAATAAATGGGCTTTGCTAGGAGGCCTCAGATGGGTTAGGGGAAAATAATTCCCTCTCAGTCCAGCGGCTTGGTTCAGAATAGTTGCATAGCCACTATCCATCAGCTTTAGCAGCATCTGGGATCTCTGCCATCTACATGAGGAAAACGATGGGGTGGGGAATTAAGGATTGTGGAGCCAAGTAACAAAGGATCTGCTTGCAACGCTTCTTCCTTTGCCTTGTTAGAAAATTTAACTTGGGATCTGAAAACTATGCTGTGTTCTTTTTGCCTCTTGCATCATTATCAATGACAGAGATTCTGCAGTCAGAATGTAGGTAACTCTTCTGATGATGATGATGTATGAGGCAGAACAGAATCCGGCTTACTCTTTCTTCATGGCGTTAGCTCTGCAGCACTAAAACAATACTACAAGTTATAAAACAACTCACTTAGATCAGTGATGGGATTCATGAGACAATCAATGTACTTTTGACCCTGGTGAAGGCTTCAAACTGAAACATGTAGGTGCTATTGATCCTACTACTGTAGCTAGTCTCTTTAATTACTTTATGGAAGAAAGGATTTTAAATGTTAAACTCAGTGAACCACTGTCTTGGAAGATTCAGTACTGATGCAGGTGCATTATTCAATAGTTATAGCTCTGCCTCATGATGAGTACAGAGTTCCTGATTATGGCCTGTGAATAACTTTGCACGATAGCAGGGAAATCTTATTTTTGTAAGTAAGCAAGACACACAGCAAGGGACCAATGATTTGAGAAACAATGCACCATTTTAATACAATCACTTTTCTGGACAGATTATTAGGTCAAGATTTTAATATTACTACCTTACGTACAGCATCTGCAAAAGCTGCAGTTGCTGTGGAGGCCAATAATTTTGATGTTCTGTCTTTTGTGTGTGTAAAATCTTAACCATAACCTTCCATTAATGTAGTTTATTGCACCAAATAATAGAACCACTGATACAACTTTAAATTCTATAGCTGCACAGTCAATGCTGCTGCAATAGCTGTGTGGTATTGTGCATGTTACTTGTTTTTTGAAAAGCAAAATTAGTCTTTGACTAGATAAACAAGCAGAGCTAACACCATTTAACATGGCACCTTTACTTGTTCATGCAAGAGCTCCAAATTTACCATGCATCACAGGGACACACTTTCCCTGGTGGATTTCTATCTCAGTCTAGAGAACCAGAACAGCTGAATTTCACTATAACCATTTTAAGTTGATCTGATTTTCAGCTGGTCATTATGGGGAGAAATTGTGCCAGGCAAACAGAGACAGGACAGTGCAAGTGACAGATTAGAGTTGCAGAACCAAAAGGGGAGATTTGCTTCAGAAAACTATTTTACAAATTGGTATATAAAACTATTGTGAGGACAAGAGTCCTGCTGGGATGGATAGGAAAACCTAGATTCTGCTCCCATTCACTTCGCTGGGAGCAAGATGGGCCTGAAGAAGGTGAATGAATCAAAACAGTTTTTAAAAAACTTCTTAAAATTCATTTCCCCATCTGCAATTTCTTTGCTTTTGGGGTTTTCCCTCTTCTCCTTCAGGCACATTTAGCATTTTGCTGCTTCCGCTGGAGGGAGAGAAGCTGAGGAGGCATCTTTGTAGCTAACATACAGCTTGAAAAGAATGAGCAAAAGAGCCAAGCAGAGCAGAGGGGTTAGCCAATCGGCACAGATAAAATGTGCATAATTGCTGGACAGTTATTTAAAAATCATCATACAGTAATTATGCAAATCCCTAAACTCTGATTGACTAATAATGGCAATTAGCCAATCAGAGTGCAGGGATTCACATACTATAGTTATTGAGAACTATCGGCATGGTAATTTTGCAAATCAGACATCCAGAACCAATGAGTGTGCAGGGAACTGCCTTACGAGAACGCCGTGCAGTTAAGGGTCAGTAACTATACAGCACCCGTGCCCTCAGACTGGTGGAGAGAATTCCATTTCACTAACGTGCTATCATAATGAACAGTTTTGCAACATCATGGGGGTTTGGACACAACAAAAGTATTAACCTGGAGTGACAGCCGCAGTTTTTCAAAACTCTCTTCCAATTCTTTCTTTTCCAGTTCGTGGGCAGACATCAGTTCTAGGGAAAATCCATAAAAATTACATTGCTAAATGGGTCAAACAAACAGTATAAATCATGGACAGCGAGTACATTTATCTTACTTAACATGATCTAAACTTTATTAAGAAGGCAGCTCTAGTGGACTGAGCAGAGCCTAGGAGCCAGGCAATAACTCACTGCATGGCCTTGGGCAAATCACAAAAGCCTAAATTTTCAAAAGCATCCACTGATTTTGGGTTCCTCCATTTCTGAGGGCCTTGTAATCAGAGGTACTGAGAACACATAGCTCTTGCTGAGTCTGACTGGAATGATGGGTGCTCATACTTCTGAAAACTAGGCTCTTAATATTTCCAGGCATGCATCAAAAATTGAGGTACCCCAAATGAGTGGAAATATTAAGTTTGGGCCTTAAATCTCTTATATGTCTCCAGGTCCCTATCTGCAAAAATGTGTGTAAGAATATTTACCTAGGATTCTTCACAGAAATACTGGGAGGGGTAATTAATTAATGAGCATGTTGTACTTTAAAGATCATAAAGTACTATATAAGTATTATATGATTATTTTTATAATTATTGGAATAAGTCACCCAACTATGATTTAATAATCAGAAGTAGATTAAATTTTAATAACTAAACCAATTGTAGCAAACTATGATTGAATAAATAAAATCGTCTCTCTCCAATCAGCCTTGTTCACTAATGCTTGGAGTACATTACAATTTAACTGGTGCAATGCCATTTTCATCCACAAGAGGGTACTTGAAACCTGTGCTAGGAGAAGAATGCACAAAGTTTCTGACAGCACATGCCTCACTAGTAACACTGGAGTTCCATCATTGAAAAATAAAGTAGCTGAATAGTTAAAAACATCTTCAATCAGGGAACAGTTTTGTTTTTAAAAGGAATAATAATTTTAAAAGATACCAAACTATCTTCTGTCTATAGGATGAAGAAACAGGCTGCAGAGTTCAGCTAACATAGACTAAATCAGTGGTCCCCAACACGGTGCCCACGGGCGCCATGGCGCCCGCTGGGGTATCTGTGTGCGCCTGCCTACTGACAAGGGAGCACCCCGCCGCCAACAACGTCAAGAAGCATCACCGCCGAAATGCCCAGTGCTTCTCTGCGGCATTTTGGCAGTGACGCCTCACGATGACGCTGCTTCTCAGCGGCATTTCGGCGGCTCCTTGTCCGGCGGCCGCGCTCCTTGGCGGCTAGTCATCCGGCGCCCGCCACACTGAAAGGTTGGGGACCACTGGACTAGATGGTTCTGAACTATGTTTTTAAAAGGCTGAGCACAAACCTAAGCAATATTACTTAATTCGGGAAGGTAATAGAAAAATCTAGTACGGTGTTACAGGGTGGACTAGGCCAAGAGACCCCTTGCTAGAGGCTTCAGTGTCCTGCCACGCCCATCCCAGGAAAGGAGCAGTAGAGGACTCCTCCAAGCAGCCTAGACTGGCTGCAGGGGAAGAAGCCAATCAGAAAGGCTGCAGGAGGGCCATCTAAAAGAAGCGCCAGAGCCAGTTCCATGCTGGAGCTAGAGCAGTGGCTCTCAATCTTTCCAGACTACTGTACCCTTTTCAAGAGTCTGATTTGTCTTGCATACCCCCAAGTTTCACCTCACTTAAAAACTACTTGCTTACAAAATCAGACATAAAATACAAAGGTGTCACAGTACACTATTACTGAACAATTGCTGACTTTCTCGTTTTTACCATATCATTAGGGCTCTGTGTCTGTCCCAGAGCTCGCGGAAGTCATGGATTCCGTGACTTTCCACGATCTCTGTGACTTCTGCAGGGGCCAGCATGGCCCCAGGGCCACCCGAGCAGCTGGCTTTGGGGCCAGCTGCTCAGGTGGCCCCCCAGGACAGCCACACCAGCCGCTGCTGGAGCAGCCCTGGGAACAGCCACACCAGCTGCTGCTACTGCGGCCCCCAGCAGCAGTCCTGGAAAGGCCAAAGCAGCTGTGGTCCACTGTCCCTAGCAGCGGTCCCTGGGCAGTTGGACAGAGCAGCCATGGTCTGCGGCCCCCAGCAGCGGTCTCTGGCTGTCCGGCCGGAGCAGCCGCAGTCCACGGTCCCGGACAGCTAGTGTCACTGGGCCTGGGCGCCCACCCCAGAAGTAGCCCTCCCACCCTCCCAGCAGTGCCCCCCCCACGGATGCCCCCCAGCAGCACCCTCACACCCTCTCAGCACCCCCCCAAGATTTAATCACAGGTATTTTTAGTAAAAGTCATGGACAGGTCATGGGCCATGAATTTTTGTTTACTGCCCGTGACCTGTCCATGACTTCTACTAAAAATACCTGTGACTAAATCGTAGTCTTACATAGAATTATAAACTACAGCAATTGAAATATAAAGATTGTATGTAGAGAAGTATAAACAAGTCATTGTCTGTATGAAATTTTAGTTTGTACTGACTTCGCTAGTGCTTTTTATGTAGCCTGGTGTAAAATAGGCAAATATCTAGATGAGTTGATGTACCCTCTGGAAGACCTCTGTGTACCCCCAGGGGTATGCAAACCCCTGGTTGAGAACCAGGGAGCTAGAGGAGTGCAGATGGTGTTCCTGGCTGACCAGAGGGAACTGCAGCACCATGGACAGCTCAGTGCTGGCAGGAACCAGGGGAGCAAGGAAAAGCTCCTGCCTGGCTGCTGGGCCTGAAATTAGATGAGCCCTGAGGTAAGGGTGAAGTTTGGTGAAGGCTGGAGCCTTGGGGAAGTGGCCCAGGGAACTGAAAGCAGTGTAATTAAAGAGACACGATGGCACGTGGCTGTTATTTTTACGGTCCCTGGGCTGGGACCCGGAGTAGTGGGTGGACCAGAGGTCCCTCCCATAGCCACTGGGGAGCTGGCCTACAATCAGACAGCAATAATCCCCCAGAAAAGGAACTGAACTACTTAGTGGCCCAGCTGGGGAGCTAGGAACCAGAATAGACTAAGAGGGCAAAACCATTGCCTCCAGGCAGGAAGCCCTGGGGGTATGGCCCGATACCAGGGCCGGGACTATTTAAGGACAGCAGACACACTCAATCAGAAGGGGTGCTCGGGAGAGGTGGGGTGCCATGCCGTTACATAGTTCTTTAAATATTAGGCATCTGGTGTGTGTGTGTGTGTGTGTGTGTGTGTGTGTGTGTGTGTGTGTGTG